CTACTCGAATCTTTGGTGGAATCAGGCGAAAAGAGAGGGAGTAGAGGAGGAGCCAGTGGGAAAGCAGTTGCGCAGAGTTATGGCCATAAGAAACGGAATGAACCTGCCCGGACTCTAGTGGGAGGTTCATTCGGGTTTATGCCCGCCGTATCAACGGGAATAGCCCCTACCGAAGGGCGACAGATAGCTCGACTCATTCTGATATCGCTCGCCTCGTCGGACAAGCTGGCAGAAAACCCAGCCGTGTAACTGCGGACATACCTGTGATCGCGACGCTGTGATCGGTGCATCGTGCGGGGGGGGGGGGCTAATGGAGACTCACCTTCGACAACCCGCATTTGACTGTGTTTTGGCTTGGGATTCATTGCGGCCTTGTTCATCGTATCGGTGACCGTAGAGGTATGAGCTGCTCGGTGTGGGGTGCCTGTGTCGTCTATAGGAAGCAGCGAGGAATCGGTCGGAGTGGTTTCTTGCCTTGGCAAAGTAGTGGGAAGTAGTAGCGTACAGGTGTTCGAGCTGAAGCAGGTGGCCGCTTGCATAGTGTTGGCGGACGGGGATACCGGTAGGAGGGCTGCAGATCCGCCTGCCCTGATTAGTGTGACGCTCATCTCTCCGGCTTGCACGGCGACGGACCAGCCGGGAAGCGTCAGGCCTAGTGTGTGGATGACAAGTTTGGCCTGTGTATTCGCCTATAGTGTCGCTACGATGAGGCTGTAGTGCTACTACAATTCGAGTTGGTATGAGAATAGTTGTAGATCGTCGACCCCCGGACCGCTGAAGTTGCGAATTGGCCAAGCCAGTGGTGAACTTCGACTACTTGGGGGCTGTTACGGCTGTCCGTACCATACCCCACCGTGTACCTTGTAGTTGGGCCGTGCTGCTGCCCATGCCGGCTGCATGCGTGCCCATTGAACTGCCGCTGCGGGGCCACAGGACTTCTGCCTGCTAGGCCAGCTGAGGAAGGTGTTGTGATCGAGTATTGTGAACCGAATGTCGCGGGTCGATGTGAGCTGCTAATCAACTGCTATAGGCTGTTCCCAACCTTTCGATTAGTGGCTGCTGAGTCCTGTTACAGGCCGTTGTGCTGTCCTGACTGCATCTGGTTGAAGGTCATGGCTGCGGCATCGTGTTTAGGAACCAGGGGGTAGTGAGAGGAGAGTGGTCGCACCACAAAGAAAGGGGCTGCGTAAGGGAGACTACCGTTGCAAGCTAGAGAGTCGTTAGAGGGTAACTTGGGTAGCTTGACTTCGGCGTTTGATCAGGCTGTTGCGGCAGGTAGGGGGATAATTGGGCATTTCGAAGGGGTTATTGCTGCAGATTGAAAGGTCGTCAAAGAGTTGACTTCGGCGGTTTTTACCACAGGTCTGACCAAGTCGTTGTATACCTTAGCTGCCATTGCGGGGCCCAGGCGCATGAAGGTAACAAGGCCCTCTCCTGCGAGTTTGAGCGCACCTCTCTTGGATCTGAGAGTTTGAAAACTTTGTCCTTCTATCCTTCTTACTCTAAGTCTAGTCTGAGTTCTGAGAGGAGGGCGGCAGGCGGGATTGCAACCCGTAGGACCGCGACAAGACTCTGTGGGGAGTCTACCCACCGATTGCGGGAGCTCTGCTGGAACTCAGGAGGAGTTCTGGAGGCAGGGAACTGAGAGGTAACCATTGCTTTCCCACTATAAACCTAGGTTATAGCCCTATCTGTATTTCCCATTGCATCTTTGACTGAATATATGGTGTACAAGATCAAGTAAAGGAACGTTTCAGCTTTATTTGTTGTATGAAATCAAATTGCTAAAAGGAATTGCATCTGGGGAAGGCAGGATGTAGGACTGTGTTGATTGAGGGTTTGACTGGGTCATTAAGGCTGGGAAGTCCCCATAAGTTTGGGGAGACTTAGTGCTTTGTTTATTTTGGTTTGCATGGAGCGTCAGACCCTTCTATAAGTTTAGGGGGTTTGATTGCTCATGGAGGGCTAGGCTGTTCTATAAGTTTAGGTGGCCTAACTGTTCTGACTTGTGAGGGCGGAGTGTGTTTGACTTTTTCAGGGACCAAGCGCGTTCTGCAAGTTCAGGTGCCTTGGCCGCCTTGTTTACTTTGGGTTTTCTCCTATTTATCTGGTTCTAAACAAGGAGGTCTAAGCCGTTCTATAAGTTTAGGTGGCTTAGCCTCTTCCGGCCTTTATTTTGAGAGAATGAACCTGACAGAGGGGAGATTGTTCTGTAAGTTAAGGTGATCTAGCCTAATGCCACGCACATAATGGATCAGAGAGAAACAAATCTGGCAGAGAGCCAGACTGTTCTGTAAGTACAGGTGGTCTGACTCAAAGCCTCGCACTTGTTGGAACCCAATGGTTACAACTTGGCTATACTTTATTATTATTTTATTTAAGAACGTGCTAATCAGACTGTTCTATAAGTTTAGGTGGTCTGACTATAGCCTATTACAACTTGAAGAGAGTATAATTAAGAATAAAATTGGTGGTAAGCAGGGGCAGACTGGACTTGAGTTAGTTCAGTCATATGCAGCCTTAGAAGACTAAGTGCAGACAATTATATATCACTTGGATATTTTAAACAGTTCAGGGCGACTAGAATGGCCTAGTCATATGCCCAAAGAAGAGAAGTAGTTGTGCCCTCTGTTTTGTGTATACTTCTCGGCTAAGTTAGGCACATTCCATAAGTTTGGGTGGCCTGACTTTATGCCTTAGGTAAGCTGGGTATGAAGGGTTAAGTCATTGAAAGATCATGAACTATTGTTTGTTCAAATATATTGGGGATGGTGAGAGTACTTACCTTTGTGGTTTGGCATGCATGTGGCTGAGTGAGGTTACTACTTGGTCTGAGTTTCAGTTTGATAGGTAGTTGCTTTAGTCGCTCGCCACGTGCTAGAGCTATAGGAGTTAAGTTTCAATTCCTGCATTTTTTGAGCTAAGTCTTTTTTACTTAGATCAATTCTCACATTTTCTGGGATCATTTTTTGTACTTGGCTTTGTATAAATTTTGGCAAGCTACTTTCTCTACGAGAAGCGCAGCCGAAATTTCTACAAATCCAAGGAGTTGATCAAATTTTGACTTGTCAAAAGTTCAACTTGTCCTTTCTTTATATCTGCCCTAGTAAAAATCTGGAAAGTCTCGTTTTCTAAAGGGAGTGTTGTCCGAATTTTTGCTAATTCAGGGAGTTAGACAAAACTGGACTTTGAGAAGTCAAAGTTATTCTCAAATTCTAAACTTAGCTTTGTATAAATTTTGGAATAACACTTTTCTAGAGGGAGTGCTGCCGAAGTTTCTACAAAACTAGGGAGTTAGTTAAATCTTGTCTAAGTTGAACTCGAGTTGTCTCTTGAGTTCATATCTGACTTAGTGTAAATCTGGGAAGTCTCCCTTTCTAAAGGGAGTGCTACCCAAATTTTTACTAATTCAGGGAGTTAGACGAAATTTGACCTTCCAGAGTTAAAGATTTTTTGCTTTCATATTTAGACTTGTATAAATTCTGAAAGGCACTTTTCGTATGGGAAGCATTGCCGAAATTTTCTTAGTTTAGAGGAGATAAATTATATTTTGACAGGTTGCGATTTTGGAAGTCCACTCTGAATAGGGGAGATTTTGCCATGAGTCTACCTTTTTTTGGGCACTTGCTTAGAGGCAGGCCTAGATATAGTTAACTAGGGTGATTTGGGTAAGATCATGACATGGAGATTGTTCTCCATGGACGTATAGGTTTAGCCTGGGGCATCGACCTGTCATGTGTTACAGGTCCTCTTGATCGTTTGATTCAAGATCAGGACTAGATTCAGCTTGATCCCTTGAGGATCATCTTCTGTTATCACTGATAACTGGTCGGTTGCCGATTCGTCGGTTTACGACTCAACTCCAATTCACTCCTGCCACTCAACCTAAAGGCTTTAGCCCTGTGGTTTGAATTGTTTCATTGTGTTTTTACCCGGACTTTATTGAATGGCCATTTAACAAAGTTACTGAGTATTTTATTGCTGGGAAGGTGCGCAAAGGTTGAGGTTTGATTGGCTAAAGCAAGGGGCATGTGTACAGGGAATGGTTGAAGTTGACCCCGTGTAGTGCGTGGACTTTGACGTGATTGCAGGTATGTTTGTGTTTCGGACTTGGGATTTGACTGCCTGCGCTCACATACATATATATATGGCTGAGAGGAGTCCCACTGTGACTGTGAGAAGTGATCGTCCTATAACCCCCTATTTATATGTATATATATGTCTAGAGTGTCTTCGTGCGGCCTACCGGGACCGCGCGTAAGGGTTAAACAGATTATGGGTTTGAGAGAAAAGGGGGATCCCCTTTTATCCTATATGCTTTTTAGAGATTTTTATAGTCGGACGTTGGTCCTGGGCCGGGATTCAAGGTCCTTGTCCAGGACATCCCAAGCCCTAGATTCTGCAGGGAAGGAATCTGCCCCCGTGCAGAGCCTATTTGCCTTGCCTACCGAGACGCTAAGACCAAAGGTCGAAGGTCTCGTGGCGGCTACACGACTATTCCTTCAGCCGTGCAATGTCGTGAAGGATTAGATCCTCACGACACTTCGAGTCTGACACTCGAGTGTCATAAGCGGTACTCGGATCCACAAGGGACCGCTTGATTATGGGCACTACATAGTACGCCATCATTGCGATTGCTTGTGTAAGCTTGCATTGCGAGTCGATATGAGTTAGCCCTGCGTCCGCGCGGTTTTATATTAAGTCTCGCGCGCAACGCCTATCCGATTTTCGCATCAGAAAATTATGGGATGGCTACAGAAGGGACTAGGAGTGTTGTCGCTGGTGTGTGTGTGTGTGTGTTTTATTTTTGTGTTCGTAAAGTGGTGTTCGCGTGGTGTGTGCGATGTGTCCTAGTCGACCGACGACGAGTCACGCTTGGGACCTCAGCCCCCCAAGATGTCGGTTCGCGTGCGGGTCCGATAGAGGCGTAATACCGCGTGTACCCCCTATGCTACAGCGAACGAGAAACGCCCTCGACTGGTCCACCTCTGCGATTGCAGCTGATCAGTTTTCGTACTGTGGACTGGTAGCTCGGCGGGGATACGCCCACCGAAGGGAGGTGACAGCTCCTGTAAGGTGGAGGTAAGTCGTGCCCCGCGTAGGCCCTATCCTGTCGTAGGGGCTCGCGAGAGGTATGGCTGGCGCACTCGGCCGGAGCTGCTTGCGGAAGCTCCACATGTATATTTGCGACGAAGGATTTAAACCAACTCCTGCGTGACGCGGCCGGGAGGGTCCCGCGTTGCCCTGGTGCGGTGTCGGACCGATGCGCTCGACAGGTGGCGCCGTTACCGGGGATAACGGTTGCCTACCGTTGTCCCTGGTGGAATGACATCCGGGTATTAGAAGTGAGAAAATAGGCAAATAAGAAGTTTTTGTTAGACTGTATGAGCGATTGGTTAATACTATGATTATCGTTGGAGATTTTGCAAGACTAAGAAGTTTGAGCGTAGGTTTGATGCAGGCTGGTGATCCAAGAGAGAGAACCACTTTTGCTTATTGATTGGTTTAGACGGACTGGTTGGTTACAGACGATGCTGGATAAAGCATGATGTGAGGGTTGATCGTACGATGTGGTTTTGGTTGACGCGATCTGGTTTTGATTAAACGCTGTACGGGTGACTCGAGATCGATGAGTACTTTGATTATGTGCTTACGTGCTCTAACTAGTATAAGGGTAATTGGAGTTGGTATCTCTTTTGATTCAGTAGTTGGCAGTTTTTGGATGATGCTTTGCATACCTGATATGGCTAAGGTTAAGCATGACTTTTGTGAGAGTTTGTCCTATGAGGTACCCTTTTTGACTGCCATAAGAGTCATCCGGGTGGTTGGAGGCTAAGGATGAGTGAGATAGTATTCCTCTGCCAAGAGTTGGAAGTATAGATCCTCTTCTAGGTGTCGGGTTAGAAGTCGTTGGGGCACTTCGAGGAGAGATGGGTTAAGGAGAGCTGAGAGATATTATGAGTATGGACTTTAGATGTTTGAGTCTGGATTCTGAGCGGTTGATCAATCTATATAGCCATGAAAGATAATAGATTTGTATGACATCTTCTCTACAAAAGTGGTATCTGACCCTAGAGGCAGTAAGAGTGACAGTGAAGGGGCTAACAATTAGGTCATCTCGTTTACTTTCGCAAGGACGATGGGATGCAGATAATGTTAGACCTCCGCTTGTGCCTTTTCAGGTTTGGACCATCCACTTGAATCTATATGGAATTTAAACTAAGGACTTGAGACTATTTTTCGCATGTTTTTTTTTTTTTAGTCATATGTTAAATTTATTCATATATGCCAAATTTTACTGTGAATAAGCCTGTTTTGTGTCTATCTATGTAAGGCTATATGCTTGATGTCGTATTTCTTGATGATCATCCCTTTTGACGATATTCACATAGGCTATTTATCTGAAGTACTGGTCTGAACCTATTATCCTGCAAGGATTTATACAAGTGTCTCATATCCAAATATCGATTTATGACTGGCTGATGAGGTTATATGTTTGGATTGCTCTTCAAAGAGGGGTTGAGATATTGCACAGAATCCACGTCTGATGCGAATTCAGAGGTGAATGGAGTTACCGCTTCCTTGGGATAAGATATTGTCTCGTGGAGTGGTCGATGTGTAAGGTCTGCCCTAAGGAAGGCGACAATCCAATGTTATTGTTTCCCTGAAAGATAGCTTTGAAGAAGTTATGGATTGTCTTCTAAGTAGTAGTGAGACCCACGCTGGAACTATGTTCCTGGTTCATAGTGGGGTGTTGTTGTTGTATCTCTTGTGATAAAATAACTACACTACTACTGAAAAGGAGGAAAGTGTTCGAGCCTTGTAAGACTTTGATCTATGAGGGAAGCAGCTACTACGTGCCGCAGGAAAGTAGGGGGTGAATCCCTTACTTTCTTTGTGACAAGTGGGTTCACCAGCACAGGACGAGACAGTACGTCTCGAAGCGTGTATGGTGAGGTTGTTTACTTTGTCGGCAGAGGTCTGCAAGGAACGAGTGCTAGAATCGGAGGGAGCAGCAGTGAGGCTTAATCCTTGAGCAGGGCTCGAGGGTTTGAGATGTTATCCATTCTAAAAAGGGATTACATTGCCACATTATACTTCTGTCAAAGCTGGGGGGTAAAGTGTGATGCGTTGGTTGTTGTTAAGTCTAAGGGTGTTGTTGGTTGACAATTCCATCTTTAGTTATGGCCTATTCATTATATGGTATACTTGTTGGTAGAAGTTTATCCTTACGAGGTGGTTGTATATGTTTTTGGTAATAAACTAGTCTGAGTACGATGTATTTGAGTTTTTATGAGTGTTGTTGTTGTCAACTATTAAAATGATATATCATTTTTTCATGAGATATTATTATTATAAAATATTTTTGATATCTGTGAATGGACAATTATTATGATGTATTACCACTATAAGTTTCCCTAAGTGGGATGGTCATAAATACTAGAAAGGATGAACTTAGTAAAATATTACTTGAGGCTAAGGCTTTAGTAGTTGTGAACGTAGGAGTCGATGTCAGCATGATAACGGAAGGCGTATGCTGGACATTTGTCTGTGATGGGCAGAACCCAGACGGAGCTAAGGCAACTCAGGATGCCTTATGCTAGGGAAGATCCCAATATGGCCTTGCCAGCTGAAAGGGAAGGCGGGCTTGAGATGTCCTTGCCAAGACGAGTTAAAAATGGGGAATATATTTCTTCTTGGTGGGGCGTGCAGATGGATATGGGTATCTTCGCCTGGGTTGAGTCTGGTTTCAATGACGATCAGGAGTGTGCTATCGTAAGGGTGACTTTGTACGTTCCCTCGTCGGTTTGGGTCAGACATGGGATTGAGCTGGCATTGGGGCACGGGAGTATGCTTACGAGACCCTTGAGGGTAGCTGAAGGAGCTGCAACGAAATGGCGAAAGAAAGGGTCCATGAGGGAGAAGAGCAAGTAGTGACCCATGTAGAGGTTAAGCGTGCTGAAAAGTTTGAACTTCCTTCATCCCCGTTAAGAGTCGTTCTGCCAAATTTTCTCGTAGAGAAGTGCTTTGGGGGACATGCAAGGGTAGAAGCTGCAGCAGAAGCCGCGTTGAGAGTGCGAGAATGGGGATATGGACGTTATATATGCGAAATGATCTATGGTCTGTATTTAGACCTAAGATTTTTACCCCGTAGTCATGGGTTCAGGAATATGGTCAATGTGGTTGACGCATACGCAGGTTCCCATGACCCAGATGAAAGGGTTGTAAATTGGGATGAAGTTTGGGCAGTAGTGGGCCGGTAGGGGGTGTCCGCATATTTTGCTAAATGCGCCTCTTGCAGGTTCACACATGACCCCCCTTACTATGTGATACGAGTGCGAGGGTCTATGACGTTTGTAGATATGATTGATGTCGGCCTATAGTCAACCTTGAGAGCTCTGTCTATGTGAGTTGTATGTTGTTTATGAATCTCCCTAGAAGTAGAACAGGGTGGCTAAAACTTCAAATATTATGGTATGAATGATGTGAATAGCAGTAAAGGGATAAGGCTAGGTAGCGTACAGTACCGAAAGAACAAAACTAACCTTAGCCACTAGGGTTGAGAAACTTTCAGCCAGAAATTGACCTTAGATCATTTGGACTGCTTTGATAAGATCCAGTTGTATGTACGTGGACATAGGAGTTAGGGCAATAGGCTAACTGATTGTGTAATCCTGACTCCGTGTTTTAGCCAGCAGGACTCTGACTATATACTGAGTGGTTAGAGGATGCATATACATGCTTTTAAAGTACATTACATGTGTATGTTGTATCATAGAAGGTGTCAGGTTGAATTGGAGGAGCACATCAGAGGCGCTTGTGTCTGCTCAAAGGTAGACTGGGTAGAGCATGATTCAAGTATGAGAGCAAGCTTCATGAGTGTTTAAGTTGTCGAGGAAAATATTTTGTTGAACTTATGATCTGGGAATACAGTCTTGAGTGCATTGAGAGGCCACATGAGAATGTGATCTTACTAGAGACTTTGATTCACTTCTTGATTGTGGTGCTTGCCCAGTTTTTTTACATACGTATTTTTAGGGATATTGTCATGAGTTGCAGGAATATATCCGTTTATATACTTGTATATATGAGAGAGAAACATATATAGCAGTTGGGTTCGAGACAATCACAAACTTTTGGTTGATTAAGGCCTAGTATGTTTCGTTTTCGCCTCTGGACATTTTAGGTATGTCTTGAGCTTGCTTGGATTCCTCTTAGTCGAGGGACACGGTTGTATTGTAATTGAGACCGTTTGAGTTTAGCCCTGGTCAGGGAGATCATAACATTTGTGTGATATCAGTGACAGTTTGAGTTGAGATTGTTCGACTTTGGGTGTATATATATAACTCAAGACTACCTTTTGCTATGATTCTTTGGGTAGGTTATCCTACCTCTGAGTGTATATTGAGTGGAGATTTCTGAGACTATTCCTTGTATATGATGATCACTATCACGCTCACATGTGTGGTTTTATCCTGATGTGTGATGATTTTGTGTGAGAGATGTGTGAGAAACATCTCATGTAACTTGTATTTTATGAATGTGAATGTAAGTGAACTGTCTACTCTTCGGTATACTCGTGCGGTCTGCCTTCAGGCGGATGATGGGGCTGGGTATAAGGAGAGGAAGAGCAGTCTGTTTTTTGTGAAGAGATGTGAGAATCCTAAGGGATTTAAGAGTCATTGAGACTCTAATGCTTACCATGCCAATTGTTTATTGTTTAAGTTGTGACGAGGACCCATAAGATGGTCTCTCAGTGATGTTTGTTTTATGATGAGCCCCCTTGGATTTTGGAGAAGGGGATGTTTTGTGATGTTGTGTGTTATGATGAGACCCCCTTGGATTTTGGAGGAGGGGATGTTTTGTTCCATAAYGAGACCCCCTCGAATTTTTGGAGGAGGGGATGTTTTGTTCCATGATGAGACCCCCTTGGAATTTTGGAGAAAGGTATGATTTTGGTTGTTGGAAGACTTACCTTCAAAGGTGGGTAAACGGATTTATGGCATGGTAAGTTGTCTGATGAGTGATGAAGTCTGACGAAAAGGGCCACATTTGCTTGGAATGTTTGAGAAGGTCGCAAT